ATCTCCTTCTGGACTCTGTGTTTCTCTGGCGCTTCACTTTCCTGCTTACCTGATGAACTTGTGGATACAGCTAACAAGAGAAATGTTCACCGTGGCGAGGTAAGAAGACTGAAGTCACGTTGGAGCATTACTCTTGCCATACCGGCTGAAACAATACCCGCACCGGGCCGTGTGGTTGCGTTGTTAGCGGTGGTGACCTCCGTACCGGTGTGGCCAGTCAATAAAACAGCCATCATGAACGATAGCTGTGGCGAGTTAACCGTGTTTTGTTGCATTTCCCGAGCTTCCTCACCTAGAGCTTCAGCTCCAGGGACCTGAGCCTTGTACAGACTAGAGTCCTCAAACAGGAGTCGTGGGACATTTGCATCTCTTTTGCAAGTTGTTTTTGTTTTGTCAGTTGCGTCTGCTTGTGGGGGAAGCTGACCTGTCCACACAGAGAACCTCACCTCCAGCTGCTTCCACTTCAGCTTAAAGAGGCGAACGAGAAAACGACAGTCCGTCCGTGCTGGGATCCGGGGACCTCCAAGGTCCCTGAGAGGATCCTCCCAGCATAGAAAGGATACACTGAAAAGTCTTTACATTCACTCTCCTAGGTGTGAGAGTCATGTTCATGTTGTTGGGCTTCTTTACACAGTGCTAGCAGGTTAGGGTCAGGGTTGTTGTTGTGAAGACAGGCAAAGACTAAAGCTCATAAAAGTCTGAATTGCGACTGGCTAATAATTGTTTATCCCTGTATTATAGTCTGGTCGATCCTGGGAAAAAATCCTATAGTGATGTATTGTTTGATATACTCAGAGATACCGATATAACTGCAATAAGCTAGTATTGTCTGTATTGTATTATTTGAGTTGAGCTGTAAAATATGCAACAATAACAACACATTTTCATTAAAACAGAATGTTTTAATTGTGTTTATATTGATATCCAGGGTAGATCATCTCTTAACAAGTCCCATTACTATACCATTCTCATCTTTGATTGGTTAATTGAGGTCCCATACAGTTGATTGGTCCTCATAAAGGGCCCAGACTGCCAAATTACCCTTGAAAAAAGGGCTGACCTCTGGAGCTTTCAGAAGTTTGATACTTAACCTGTTCTGAGTTAATATTCACTTTTGTCGCTTTGCTGGTAGGTGAAATAGCTGACTTGTGAAAGCCATGAAGTTACAGGTCAGTCAGAGACACACAGATTATCACAGCATAATCATTCTAGTGGTAGACTTTCACCCAGTTAAGCGCTTATCAGAAAAGGCTTGCATTCCCGAGAATTAAAAAGCCTTAAATCATCGAGGGGGCCTGTACGTGCTTGTAATGGGCTGCTGCCTTGTGAGTGGGCTTACTGCTGTGGTGTGATTTGCAGACATTTTTACTGTAAACATGGGAGAAGCCTTACATGATGTACCATGCTGTTATTTTGTTCACAGTGTTAATGCTCAGACAGGGAGTTGGCTGGTTACAGATGTTGACAGGCCTTGACATCTGAATTACGTGTCTTGTTTTTCTGTCTAGGTGGATATTGCCGGTTATCTGTCTTTTTGTAACTGCGTGACTTCCCCAGTGATTTGTTCTTTAAGCTTTTCTATTAGAGCCTGAATGATAAATACCCATAGACCAATATTATTGGCTGATATTGACTTATCTCTCAGATAAATCAGCTTGGCAGGAATATGCTCAGGTTTGCACTTGTTGGCCTGTATAGCCAGATTAAAGCATAAACCCATATGATGATGTTCATAATAACAAAGACTGTGTTTTCCTGTTTAGACAGGCTGTCCTATGTGCATGCATGCATCAGTATTCATGTCTGTTTATTTTATATAGCCCAATTTCACAAATTACATTATTTATTTATTATGCATTGGCTTTTAATGGTGAACCCTCACACCAGCTAAGCTCAGGTAGTGAGTGTGTTTATCCAGCTGTTAGCCTGTTTTCTTCCTGACAGATCAGCAAATACAATAGCCATTGCATCTGACAAGCTTTTTGCTCTGTGTTAGTTCACCGTATTAGTTGCTGTTAGCAGCTATGCCAGTCACCTTTATGGCATTGCTTCCTCTTACACAAACACAGCCCTCGGCTACATCAGCCGCGGTCTTGTTTTGCTGGCACTGGTTGTTTGTTGATGTTTCTAGTCATCTCCTGTTGTCACAGACATGAACGCTCTCTGCTGTCGGACACAGAATTTGACAAAATTGTCCTCAGTTTAATTTACCGGTGGAGAACCAGAGCCCTTATCGGTCTGTTGTATCTGTTCATAAGTTAATAATCTGATATAAGCAGCTCTCAGTAGTGATTAATCTAAACCTTACAGCAGGCCGAGCTCTAAAGATGTTCAGGAATGTGAATAAAATCAGACTTATCTTAGCCCAGCTATTTCTGTAGTATGTCAGTGGACGGGGATAGAAAACTGCAACAGTTGGCATTTAGAAAACTGGCTTATCTATAGGTAAGTGAGAAGTCATCCCTATAAACAGATCAAAATTGGCAATGCCTTCAGTTCAGTTCTTGTTCCATTGAGGAAAGCAGTCACAACAGAGTCTTATGCCAATCCATAAACAGTGGCAGTGCATTGTACCTGGTGCTCTTCTGTGTGTCAGTGCACTTTTAAACCTCTCTGGGGAAACTGGGTTAATGAACTGAGTGTTACGTTTCACAGGACTGGCAATGCAGGGGGGAGGGGGGTGCTGAAAGAGTAAAGGACAGCACCAACAAGGGGGGATGTCATTGGCTAATGGATGGATGTCATTTAGCAGTGGCTGTAACACAGCTGAGCCCTTAAAACCGCCATATGTCAGCATGGTTTCTGGATGCTGTGTTGGCAGGTGTTGAACCTCTGGGATGACTGTTTGTGACAATAATGTAAATGTACATCATTTTAAGATGTCAGTGGTTAAACCAGCTGTCTTCATAGCCTCCTGAGCCATATTATATAAGTGATATTGTTACTGTACATGATGCACTGTGGAAACCTGTCTCACTATTGCACATGCGTTAAATATGTGTTAATGGCTGTAATTACTTTAAGTAAGCCTTTAGTGGATGTGTACTTACCGAAATATTCAGGGATGACTTGTCAGTAAAATAATGGTGGAAAATCCAGTTAGTATACATACCATAGTTAGTTGTTTCAGTTTAAGTATTGACTCATGCTGCATGTGTCACATCTTAATTGTCTTTTTGTACTGCTTCATCACAAAGGGGTTGGGGCAATATGACAAAACACTGTGTAATGTCTGAAGGTGTATTAGGTCATTGCAGGTGTGCGGAAGTGCTTCATGGAATTTTATATGACTTTTCAATACATTGCAATATAATTACAACCAGAGAAGGTTTAACTTTGTCGCTTGAAATATGACTTAAATGATTCGTTGCCAATCACAGTAATTGCAGATTATGTTTCAGTGCATCGTCTGATTGTTTGTGCTCGATACACAGTAACGATGCTCAAAAGGAGACTGATCTGTCTGATGTTGTGTTTTTGTTCTTTGCTTTAGACCCATATAAGATCATGTCAGTTCCAGCAGCAAATGTATCAGAGTTAGAATAATCATTTTCAAAGCAGTCCTGTGATTTTACATTGAGGAAGTGACCTAAAAAGTCTTTCAATTGTTTGGCGGAAAGGTTCCTCCAGGTCAGTATCGTTTCCCACAGGTCCCGCTGGTGTCAGAGCTTCATGTTCGCAGATCAGGCTCTCCCTTTATGATGTGTAGTGGATCCTGTGGGATAAACTGTGGACCCGCAGCACTCTGCTGGCCAGCCACAACAATAGGCCTGTATGACTGTTTGAATGTGCCATTCTTTGTGCAGTGTGCTTCACTTGGGCCAGACAATGGCTTCATTTAGCATCTCTTTTCTGTCGAGGCCTGCTCTGTCACCATGGCACCCCTGCCATGCCACACCCTGCCCCCAGTCTGCTCCGGCTTTGCACTTGTCCTCGATGTTGGGACAGCTGGGCTTAGACGGCCATTGTTGGCCACACCCAAGACCCAACCTCACATTTTGAGGATTGTTGCTCCTCTGTGGCCGAGCGGAAGACCTCTCAGCTCGTTACAACTTCCATTTGTGAAAGGTTGTATAGAATTATAAACCAAAGGCTCATCTAACCTCTAACCTTTAGCTTGATGGAGTCTTGCTAAATATCATTTTCTGGAAAGAAATAAACAGTACAGGGGTCACCTGCAGTGTTTTACATCAGAGGTGGGCCACCTTGCTGGAATTAAGGACCACCTCCTTTGATTTTATAAAGAATTACACCTTTTGAATTTATTGTAGATACAAATTAATTTGATCACAAGACTGGAAATGTTATGATGATGGTGCCTTGCCACTTCCTCTGAAAAGTTTTTAGCTCTTAGTCATAGCTCTTGATGTGGCAGTTTTTCTGTTATTGTTTACATCTCAGAAAGAATGAGAAAAACTGACATCATTTGGATTAAAACAC